TTTGTAGAGCTGCCTGCTTAACCAACAGCTTTCTCCATAAGTTTTGATGAATCATTTTGTTTAGTTCTTGTGTAATTGCCTCTGTCAACTTAATCAAACAGCAAAAATGAAGAAGAAAATTGCATTTGTCTAAAATCAAATTGCCATGTCAGATGTATTGATTGATGAAGCAAATGTTTGTTTGAACAAATTCTATATTTTATATTGTGTTGAAATAATCATATTTGTTCTTCTTTTATGCCTGTCAGGGGGGTGTGGCACTCTGACATCCTGCCAAATGTTYGTRTTGACCTAAAAAAAACACTATCATGTTGATTCTCTAAAGCAGATAAATCTAAATCAACGAACACATCGCAGGTCGAAGTAAATTCTCCAAAAATAAATCTTAACCCAAACCCTAAGTTAACGACCCTGTCCATACCCAAACATTGACCCTATACTAACCCTAAGCTATGCAAGAAGGTGCCAAAACGGTGGATCACGTGACCCGTATTTTTGTTAATATAAACTGTACTTTAAGGAAAAGACCTTCCTACTTCACACTTCTTTGTAGCCTTGGTAATTGTTAATAAATGCAATTTTCTCCTTTTATTACACAAAGAATTTTCCTTGAGATGGATTCATCAAAGGATTTTTTTGAAATCCGATCCGAAATGAAAGCCTTATCTAGTTTAGCCGGATAGATTCTGCACGRGCCTTAAGTTTAGAATTCATTTTCTTAATTAAATGTGAAGTCATTTGAACAGTAGCTATTTTATAAATGAAACGAGACTCTTCTTTCTAGTTTTTTTTTAATGCGATAATGAAAGATATAATGTTTAACATTATTTAGAGCTAGATTACTTTTAATTGACATTGTCCCAAGGTAAAGAACAAAAAGTATGCAACTAACTTTAAGGGGGCAGTCTGACAAGGCTGTTATAGTCTAGCTCATGGGCAGATTCAGCTGAAATGTTATGGGGGGGGTAGTTTTAAACAACATTGAAAACATTAAAAAAACAGTTTACCTTTTATGCCCAAAGAAGGGGCTACAGACCTCCTTTGCCCCTCCCGGGATCCGCCCTTAAAGTCAAAGCTAGAHCCAACGGCTGAGAGGTTATATTAGATTTTGTGTCAAAGGGTTACTGTCATAACTGACGAATGACCTTTCACAACAAGTTTTGTTTCACAGATCAATGTAAAACGCTGTCATTTAAATACAACATAATACATACTGAAAGATGTGGAACAATACCCAGATAACCATTGAGTGCGTTGAAAATTGATGTTTTAAATCTGTTTCAGCAGATGGACACTCAAGCTCTTTATTTACATACAATCTGTTGTTATTTCTAAGCACAAATGGAGTCAGTATTGTATTCATGCTATATCTAGACAGTAGGGTGAGGTGCTGAAACTTTAGCTAACACGTGGAAACTATTTTCAAATTACTTTTATTCAAAACACTGCGGAAGTAGCTGCACTGACATCTAAGRTGAAACGACACAAATAACCCTTTACAACGAAAACCCGTGTATCGCGACCAAAATGAAACACTAATCCTAAAGAACATCATAACTTCGATGAAGCGATGCAAAGGTTTTCGCTCATTAAAATTCTGTGTAAGGCTCTCTTAAAACTAGAAGAAAATAAATCAATATACTCATATAAGAAATATCATGCGAAATTCAGATGAAGAAATAAGAATGTATGTGTTTCGAGCCAAAACCAAAACTATTAAAAAGGGTGTGAACACTGTAAATCAGTTTCTCATTGAGCAAGCAAAGTATGTGTCATGGACAGTTTTATTGTAGTCGGTACAATATRAACTCACTTTCCAATATATTTTGTTATTTTAGTATTACGGAACTTTTGAGTTTAGGAAATGATCTAAGAACCTAAAACGGACAGCTCCTATTGCGATAAAACCCTGATACATACGCTTTTCCGATTGGTATCAAAATATTTTTGTATTGTTTTAWTATCAACTTCCCTAGCAATGATTTGTAAGGACTGCAGTGAATAATTAAGTCATATGTATATTGTACATACTAAATATCATTTGTTCAATAATTTCAACAAAATTGATAAACTTTTGATGGGTTGTAATTATTGAGTAAGCCAATTACACAGTAAGTTGATGACCTTCTGAACAATTTTACAATTTTTAGTGCACTCCCGAAAACAGTTCCGATGCTAAAGGTCCTAAAGGTGAAAATTATTCAACGTGTTGACTGATCTGAATTATTATTTCATCAAATAAAGTCGAAGCAAAGCTTACAGACTCGCGGTTGCTAAGGAAGAAATGGTTTTCCATCTATATATGGTAAAGGATGTTGCTCGGAAATTGCTGTCTTATACGTCGTTTAGGCTTGTTTGTATTGAACTACGTCATAAGGGCAATGCCTGTATCCAGCCAGGGGAATCAACAGGGGTGCCATTGAAGTTTTGCCTCGAAATAATATAAATAGACTGCAAAATCGTAAGAATAAATCATTCTGCAAGCGAAGATAGATAAGCTCTCGAAAAAAGAAATTTGACATGGATTCAAGATATTTGTTGAAGCACATTTCACAAGCTTTCATTTTGAGTATAGTCTTCAAAATGATTTTATGTGTGCCTGTTTTAGACAAGACGAAAGGTAAGCCGTATTTAGACTAGTATATAGAGTTTTCTAAAAAAAGACTATTTGTTTGTTAAGTAACAAATGCGCTTAAGAACCAGGGAACTCTGTATTGCTCTGCGGCATTGCAACTTTCCCACGTACGAATGTCTTGGTTTTCACACTGATTATATATCAACCTATGGGTAACACATTTTTGAAATAAAATGTGGATAAACTCTATTTTGAAACAAAGTTTCTTTTGTATTAAGAGCTCTTATCCAATCATAAGCACTCAAACCAATAGCCAAAAGATGCTTCTAATTTGCTATGTTGCCCACGTAGAATTGCGTTAATATTGAAGCTAAAGAAATCTTTAATGRAAGTGAAAACAGACATCAAATAAATAATTAGAAATTGCGCAAACTTGTGAAATTACAGCAGATTTTCCTGTTTTAACCAATGGGATGGATGGATTATACAATGCACAATTAGCACCTTCTTGCATTCCTTTGCCGTTTGCTTCCCTAGTTCTTACTCGGGGCATTACTTAAAAAACTTTCTATTACAGTTCAAACAGAATAAATGAAATTCCGAATGCAGATTTTTATTCTTAGTTGATATTTAACTGTAGAATAGAATATAAAACATTCAGGATAATATAGAAGAGCACTGAATATTTCGATTTTATTGCAAAACCATTATCAGGCAATAACTGTACAAAGTGCAAAAACAAACTATTCATAATGTACATGTCACACTCATGAATTAAATAGAGTTAATTCTCTTGAGGCAAGAAAGCCAGTGTTTAAGGATTTTCTCTCTCTCTATCTTAAGAGGTTCTTAATGTAGTCATAAATTCCAATTGTTATCGCTACTTATATAACAAAGATATTGTTCTGTACAGTGTTTATGTAAAACTAACGTCAGCTCATAATGAATAGGACATTTAAATAAATCTAGTATGTAAACCTTGTAAGCCTGTTCAGGACATGTGAATTTTTGATACATAACTTTATTACAACTAGGTTTTGTTTTGTTATAGCGGATCTTGAAATTTACATTTTCTGTAGCACAGGAGCATAGTTTGAGTATGCAACTTTTTGCCAATAAAATCTCTCCGATAYATGGAAGTTTAAACTATTTCAGTTCCTTTACGGACATTTTCCATATTTTTCTTGTTTTTGGAATGTATTYCCCCCAGTATATTTGTGGGATTTACTCAAGTAAGTGTTCTAATCAAACCATGTTGCTTTATTTACTAGTGAAAATATGACAATTCATGTAAATGATAGGCAAGGTTTTTAGAGAATCTTGAAAGTTTTCAGTAGGAGGTAATTGCAGGGTATAGTAGGTCTGTTTATAATCTTTATGTTACCTTGTAATTACGTTGTAAATCTGAGCGACTTTGTACCATTTTAGCAAATATTACACAATTAAAACCACTCGAAAAAAAACAAAACAAAACAAAAAAACAAACACACACACACACAAAAAGAGCAACGAACAAACAAAAAACACAATTTTTTTTTATCGGTGTGAGAACCACAATTCAAATGTAGAACGGTATCGTAAAGGAATATGAAACTTATATCTTTTAAAAGTGTTCTTATCTGTCGACAGTTTCATCAGGAGATAACAGAGAGACGAAGGGAATCTTTGATATTATATTGAACGTCAACTCGAAAAGAAATGCCGGCCATCCAGGAGATGGAATAGTGGGTTCAAGTGAGTAAAACCATTATGTTTAAACACTCAAAGAGAGACGGAAAGGCCGTGTGTCCTGTGAAGATATTAGAGGTTCTTATTTCTCCGTAACCAGGCTAAGGGGTTGTTAGAAATATATTGGAAAGTGCAGAGTGACAGTGATAAAGGCATAGTAGATAGTAAGAATTGCTTTCTGTTACGAATGAACGAATGACGCTCGTGGTCATTGTTCCGCTTTAAATTTCAATCGATTTAGTTTGTTTTGCGCGGACTTTTTGTGATGACGTCGTCATTGGAAATTTTGATAGAAAAACTTCGCAAAGATAGGAGGAAAAGAGTCTAATTTCAGAAAACTGTTTTTTTTTCTTTCGAAAAGGTTTTGTTTACATTGACAACGGAGCAGGGGGGCTGGGGGGCTACAGCCCCCCCCCCAATAATTTTTCCGACATTTTGAATTTTCTTAAATAAAGAAGCGAAGAGCCTCCTTATGAAATTCCACCATACATATTCTAATTGTGTAAAAACTGAGCGTGAACAATTGAAATTGAAGCTTTTAATTTTTTTTTCTTTGGGATTTTATTGATTAAGTCTTTGGGGTTTTATTTATAATATCACTGTGTGTGTGAGGGGTAAAAATGTCTTGGATGACGCCTCAAAACGCTGGAAATGACATTTCCGAGAGTTAAGATTTCAAAAATTTTCTAACCCCCCTAGTACCTGGTCGCCGCTAGCCCCCTCAAACAAATTCACGCTCTGCGGTGCTTGGTTTAAAAGAAGTGAGATATCTTAATCATAAAACAGACGGCCGAACGATAGAATGAGCTTTCCCCTTTTCGTTTAAGCTTTAATTATGTTTGCCAGAAAAAGTGCTGTTGTTAGAGAGTCAAGTGTTAGCATAATTGCATCATGTGTAATTGTTCAATGGATTGTTTTATGACCATTTTTATTTATTTTCAAATCCGTTGAACGATTTTTGATAAATTGCGTTGTTCCGAAGCCACTGGCACTGCATATTTTTGAAAACTAATTTTGCATCCATGTTTTAACTTGTAGTATTCAACACTTGTATTTTGCACTTAAAAATTATATACAATATATCTTAGACGGCAGAAAAATAATGTTTGAACATGGAAATCTTAATCCGTGACCCATATTATGATTTTTCAACAGTTTCAGATTCAGTAGAGTTATTCCAAGCCGATATCGTTATGACGAAAAACATTAAAAAAGCATTAAATCAAGGAGGGACTGATGAAATAGATTTTAAACCTCAAAGACGTCAAAAAAGAGCTACTTCCTCCGATGATGTAAAAAAATGGCCAGTTGTCAAAGGCTCACGTCAGGTTCCTTTTGTAATTGAATCTTCAATAAATGGTAAGTAATCACATACACCTAATTAAGAAAACGTTGTCCTGAGATTTAGGAGGGTCTTAATTGGGTGGWACGCATCACGACTCACGGCTAAACATTTGGCGATTTCACGACTCACGACTAATTTTTTCGAATCACGGTTAACTAGATTAAGAAATTTTTGAATTACGTTTTTCATTACTTTTTCTTTTAATTTTCGTATGAATAGACTGCGTGACTTATTCGTGCGGATATGGATTTTCTCTTTCAAATAAGCCGAAATGCGACAATTTCCACGAAAAAATGATTAATCATAAATTCATAAACAAGAAAAATACAAAAAGTGTTAGCAGGTATTGAGAACATAGTAGTGACATTGCTGCATTCCGTGTCTGAAATCGGAGTTTACAAAATTTCATGTGTCGCTTTGCGCGATGATGTATTCTATGCCGGGCTAAATGTGCATGGTAAACTATCAGGAAGTTTGCAGCGTATTCATATTATTATTTGACTCTAAACAAAATTATAGTATTTTAAAATCGAGCAGATTTAGTTTCTTGTCACACTTAGCGTGACGCAGGCACTAAATGAGTGGGAGTTTTAAAATGTACAAAACAAATCCCAAAAAATACTATCTAAGAAAGAAAAAACCTTTTATAACTAATTATAGTATTTTAAAATCGATATCTTATCTAATTACAGAAAATTAGAATAGAAAATACGAATAGAAAACATAACTCGGCCAATCTGTTTAAAAATTGATTCTCGGTTGCGCAATCGCCGCGCTGAAACCTATTATACGTTTAATAAAAAAAAGCCAATGAAAGCGCGCTTATATAGAAATAATTGCCAAATGATTCTGGAGATATTGCAAACAATCAGTAATGTAGGAAGCTAATCAAAGACAACAACAAAAAGAAAAAAAAAAAGAAATATGAAAAAAGAAAAAAACTTTGGTTGGATTCGAACCCATGACCATAAAATCGAAAAAAAGGTTAGGACGATTCCCCCGAGACATTCTGTGAAGCTGAGGCGGCGAATCGATTTACATTCCGGTTAGAGATTTCGGCTCTTCCATGCTATCCCGATAATTGGTCCTAACTTCGCGCTAACTAAAAAGCCAGTGAGGGAGAAGCTATCCGGCCCCTAGACACTGATGGATAACCCCTTGCACTAACTAGGCAACTATCGAAAGTATAATGTCAAATTGGGGTAGTCTATTCGATGAAAGTGCCAAGTGGTCTATTATTATGTAAATGAGCGTGGTCCAGTGGCGCACCGCGTTAAGGCGCTGCTTRCAAATTCAATGTAGGTTTGACGGTAGCGGGATCGATTCCCTGGACGAGACGTTTACTGATTGTGTATTTTCATTTCTATTTTATATATTGTTTATCTTTTTTTTATTTATTTATTTTTTTTGCAGAATTATTGTCATCTCTTGTGTTTGGCACTTTCCTGAGAACTGACTTTTTTTTACGAAGTGGCTATATGATCGGCTCCCACTCAAAGTCTTCTATGTACTAACATACTAAATGAGTGCTAGTTAASTAGATAACTTTCAGAAATTTTTGAAATAAGTTTTTCATTACTTTTTCATAATTTGTTTTGTGCTGGGATAGTGAGTGTGGTAGCACAGTTTCCCCTTGTACTTTATAGGCACTTCGTTATTATAACTTTTTATCATCACTCTCACATGTCAAATTTTGTCCGTGCCCTGACTTGTCTGAAGGACCTTGCAATTACTACCTTGTTGGTAGGTGCGATCCAGTAGAATTTTGAGGGGGTGGGAGCGGAAGAGTGAAAGATTTAGGGAAAACAATTCCTGAACGGACGGAGGGGCCGAAAAAAAATTATTGCAAGGCAAAATTTTGAAAAATCTCCACTAAAGCTTTTATTTTTTTAAATTTACATCGGAGTTAACTGTCCTTCTGAGGGACAAAACTGAACCACGGCTCACGATTTAAAAAAATATTCACATGTTGACGTGGCCGTTTGATGGGAAACATAAGACATAACCCACCCTCCCCTCTCATCCATGTTTTCCTACATATTTAGTTTGCATCAAGAAAACAAAGTTTGCCGCTACTAAATAAAATTTGACGCTACGGAATAATGTTTCATGCTATGAAATAAAGGTTAACTACGGTGATGGCCTTCCTAGGCTTACGTAGTTTCCTGTGGTAGTACACGGAGGGAAGGAAACGTGCTTACGCACAGGACCACTGTGTCTGTCCATGAAAAATGGACTCAATCGTTTACCATTTTGCTCAGCTATGGTGCTCTGCTATATAATTAGAATCATTGTGCAGCTAGCTATRATTTCCTATAATTTCCCTAAACCTGTCTCAACTATTTCTACATTTTTTAGGACCCGTTAAGAAAGTGATTGAAGATGCTATGAAACACTGGACAACAAATGTACCGTGCATTACTTTTGTACAAAGAACTAATCAGAAAGATTACATCAGTTTCTTTGCTGGTGATGGGTGAGTCTGCTCTTTTTTACTTTGTTTGTGTTTTTCACGACATGAAAGTTCCATCGATACCATCTGTTATATATTAGGTGTTTCTCGTGGACTGGACGAATTGGTGGAAAGCAAGGGGTTTCAATGGGTTCAGGATGCGAAATCATGGGGATTGCTGCTCACGAAATAGGTTAGTTTCTTATAACTATTTTTTAAGCGACGATGGTTCGTGAACTGGACGAATTGCTCGAAATCATGCAAAGGGTTTCAATCGGTTCAGGACGCGAATTCATTGTGATTGTTGCTCATGAAATAGGTTATTTTTTTAACTTTTTTTGTGCGACGATGGTTCTCGGCAGGTCACGTTCTTGGTTTTTGGCATGAGCAATCCAGGCCAGACCGTGACAATTATGTGACAATCTTATGGAATAACATTAAACCAGGTTAGTTGAAAGTGTTAGCCTCCAACCAACAGTCAGCATACTAAAATAGGGGCGTATCTAGGAGGTGAAAGGGTGCCCGTGACCCCCCTTTCAAAGCCAAAAAAGCGCGAAAACCATAGATTGATATGGCATTATATTGACGTTATATGACGACATAGTGACAATTTGGTATGCAAGGTCCACCCAGTGAAAATCCTGGATACGCCACTGTAAAAATCTAGGAAACTAACTAACCAACTTAGTAACTAGTCAACTAATTCATCACCACACGAACAATAAAGCTCGAAATTGATCTGTTCTTGCAGTCGTTAAATAAGTTCAATATCTATCAGAACTGCGTCATACATCCTAAATTGAGTAACGAATCTTCCGTACAAAATGTATCCTATGGTACTGACAATTTGTATTTGCACACACACAGGCAAAGAACTGGAGTTCAAAAAAATTATAAATAGTGGCACAGATGACCTTGGAGTATCTTACGATTACAACAGTCTTATGCATTATGGACCAAAATACTTCTCCAGATCAGAATCATTAAACACGATGGTGAAACGCGATGGCAGCATTGATTTTGGTAAGGCGACTGCTTTGAGTCCCAACGACATTGAGCAAGCAAGACTTATGTATTGTCCAGGAACCAATGGTAGGTAACTTAAACGGGGGGAGGCCACTAAATATGTTCGAACCCTGTTGACAAAATAGAGGGCTCGCTTGTAAGAAAAAGAAAAAAATGTGGACCTCTCTTAAAGGGCTACTTGGACGAAAATTGCGAAACATTAGAAAAGACTTGGAAATCAAATAGAACTATCCATATGGGTCTAATAACCATGAAGCAACAGATTTTAAGAAGACATTGATACAAATCCTTAATAATTTGGGCAAAAAATGTTGGAGTAGATGACGTCATTTACTCCATCCTTTTGTTCTTCCATCTTTTGAATCAAAATTTCTCTGATGTGGGACAATTCCAAAACAAATATTTTCCCGCAATTGTTTTTAATAGATATATGTGAGTCATATATTTGTATTGCTTGAAGTTTTGAAAT